TAATATTCTCGTAAAAAACCCCTTTTTAAATCATAATAATTTGCAAAAAAGATTCAGAAAAAATTGATGTATAATGATAAAATGAAGGCTTTAATTACGAAAAACTTTACTGGGTGAATATATTGACGGTGCTGAAAATTGTCCAAGTAAAAACACCCTAATAAATCCTTGCACACAAAGGATGTTTTTACTTGGACGGTTTTCAGTCCCAAATCAGACCAGGCTTAAACAGACCAGACCAGACTTAAACAGACCAGACCAGACTTGACTTCCATAGTTATAATATACACAGAGAGGACCAGACGTTTACCAGACCAGACCAGTTCAGACCAGACCAGACTTAAACAGATCAGACCAGATTAGATCAACAAATTACAATCCAATTAAAAACATCCAAAGAGAACCGCGGTTGAGTTTTATTCATAATAAAAACATTAATTATAATAATCCGGAGTATTGATTATAGTAATAGTACTACTACTACTAATAATAATAATAAAATTTACATAAAGTTGAATTTTTATCTTCTACATAACACATAAGTGATGCATGTAGAGGAAAACATTAGAATGAAAAATTAAGTGAAAAGATTGAATGAAAATCAAACCAATCACACGCCACCTGAATGAAAATCAAACCAATCACAGCATTTCAAGTTAAGATGATGCTGATTTTTCCAGAAGTCATAACTTTTTACTCGTAATGAGTTACGAGACTCATAATATATCAAATCGAAGGTATTTCAGAGCTCTGCAATCTTGAACTTTCAGCGGGGTCGGCTGACCACCCTGACCCCCCTTGTCTCCGCCCCTGCTGGTTAGCATTGTTTAAAAAGGAATGCAAGATACAATGCTTATTATACTGAATGGAGTTTCGCTACAGATTGAAATGTTTGAATAAATGCAGTCTATGGAGGCGTGTAGAAAAAAATATTAAAATGCCAAAGCCATATAAAGAATGTTGGGAATCAAACGGTTGGGTTATTACGGAGTTAAGGAGGAAAAAAAAATTAAAATGCCAAAGCTATATAAAGAATACTGATGAATGGTACAATTACTAAAACAAATTGTACAAGTGTAGATTACTTTAATGTTACACCAACATTTTTATCATTCCTAAAATGCCTTAACCATCATTGGTGCTTATAAGTTTTTAGATTTAGATTTTTAGATTTAGATTAGATTAAAGTTGCGTAGACGTGAGAAAGGCAACTAACTAATGACCCTCTTGGATTAGTTTTTAAAAATTTGTCACACATCGAAAAGTTATAAAACAATAAAACACTATTGTAAAACAAATTTTAATTCCTTCAACATGGCATCAGTGCTTTATGTATGAAGAAAATGGCGTTGTGAAGAAAGTGATCGCTGATGAGACTCCATTTATTGAGGCCTAGTCCTACTTTGCAGATGCGAAGTTTTACGTAAATACAAGTGTTTAAAGATAACGATGCTGAAGGAAATAATTTGTATCACACTATCACCCTTTGACTGATCCCAAATTGAAAGAAAAGATTGTTGAAGGTGTGGAGGGGCTCACATTCCCTCTTGCACAACTATATAAGTATTTGGACTACTCCTTATCAGATTGATATTTTAGGATGAAACTGCGGATCTTAATATGATATCAGAGTCAAGTCCGGTTGTGGTTTGACTGCTTGTTTAACATTCATTATTAAGGATAGCTCGTTAAGAGTCAATTTGGCTCATTTATACCCTCAATATTGTCCAGCCTGATTCAGGAGTGTGTTAAAGTATTTGTCTCAGAGATGTTAAAATGGTTAACCATATTTAACGGTTGACTAGAAAAGTCAAAAATGACTAATTGAAAGGATTGACTAGAAAAGTCAAAAATGACTAATTGAAAGGATATACAACTACAAGTATACCATTGGTAAAAGCTTTGTTAGTAATATACGGTTCGTGAATAATACAATAATATGTACGTTCGTGTATAATACGATACAATTATATAAAATACGGCTAAAGATATGTTTCATACGTTCGTGAAATGCATAAAGATACGAACATGTTTTAAATGTTTTACAATATAAAAATACGGCATATGAGACATGTCTTATAGACTAATTTAATGATGAGAGTAAAGAGTAATTTAGCATATGCACCCCATTCTTCAACAATTTAAAATGTACGGAATAGTTTTTTCAAATATAAAATTTTAATTCATAGGTACAATAAGTAATAAAAATGATATTTCCTATTTATGTAGAAATAGAGAGATATTTCTAGAGAATTGTTTAATTATTGTGGCCGTAAATTTGGTGAGCCGCCGTAATAATCTTTTCTCTTTGGAGTCTTTGTATGAGTAGATAACAAGAGTAACACAATAGTACTCCAATAGTAATATTGAAACGAGTTATGACTTTAAGAAGCTAATTTATTAAATCTTATGACTATTAAACAATTAATGAACTTATAAGACATAATAATTTTTTAAGCAATATAAATAGTATTGAGTAACTAGACATTTTGCTTCAGTTGTACCACTCCATTAGGCTTCAGTTTAATGGTGTTTCTTTAATAAAATACGTAACAATACGTACGGTACGTGTATTATACATTTCATCTTTAAAGTACGTGAATTTTTCAGTATTTTCTGAAAAATTCATAAACGGGAGTATTATACGCGAATTATACGTGAATAAACTAACGGTAAAAGAAGTGGGCTGTCCCTCTCCTTCCGCGTAGTTTCTTCCAAAGCAGAATTCCGTTAAACACAACCGCCAACACAAGAAGTGCTGTTATTAGAGCGAGCCAAAGCTTAATGCCATTGTCCAATGCTTTGCTACAATCGGACATGTCCTGCACAGATCTCGCCCATATGTAATTAATTATAAAAAGTGCTCTAAATCTTTTCTGTACCAATCTTCAAAAGGATGACAACTCATCCCTAAGGCCTCAACACCGGTCGGACAATTTACTTGAAGGTTGTAAATTGGAATTTATTCAAAAGCTAACATATAAAGATTGAAGTTCTGGCCCTGGTACTTACAGAAACCATATGCATTACTAGTGTTGGACTCGGGTCAGGTCGGGTCCGGGTCGGGCCTAGGCCCTGCCGGGCTTTTGATGTTTGGGGTGAAGGCCCGGGACCGGCCCGGGTTACCAAGTCCGGGACCGGCCCGGGTTACCAAGTCCGGGACCGGCCCGGGTCCGGGTCGGGCCGGGCCCACGTTATTTTTTTTCTAATTAACCCCCGACCCCCTACACCCACCCCCAAACCCCCCCAAAACACCCAGCCCAACTCAGGAAAAGCCCAAAAAAATGAAAAACCAAAAAAAGAAGAAGAAGACCCGAACCGGGCCCGGGACCGGCCGGGCTGGTTCCAAAGAGTGGACTGAACCGGGACCACCCCACCCTAACCCTCGGGACCGGGCCTAGGCCCGGAACCATACCCGGTTCACCGGGCCGGGCCCGCACAGTAGCGAGCCGGGCGGCCCGACCCAAGTCCGAGACTATGCATTACACACAGTGGAATTCAAACCCGAGAGTTACCCCTTGTGGCACCTTCCATCTACCAGTTGAACTACGTTCACCAACTTTCGATACGAATCTTCTAATCCAATATACTTCCTCCATGCTTAATAAATGCAACAGTCAACATTTCACACTTGTCGAGACACAACTTTGACCATTAATATAATTGATTTTGTATAAGTAAAAATATTAAAAAAATTAGATTATGAAAATTTACAATGAGACAAGTTTAACAATATTTTTTTTCATAAAATAATATTATTACATTAATAAATAAAACATAGTCAAAATAGAACATGTGAATCGTGTAAAAGTCAAAGTGTTGCGTTTATTTAAGAACGGAGGTAGTATGCCGATAGCTACGACACGGATCACGCGAATAAGCACACTCACCGTACACAACTAAAATTTAACTAAGGCTATGTTTGGCTGACATAAGTCTATAGCTTTTGGCTTTTGTACTATTTAAAAAGTCTCTAAAAGTTGTTAGTTGTTTGTTTGGCACGCCAATTTTTAAGAGCTTTTCAAAAAATAAAAGCTCTTTTTTGAGATGCTACAGGTAGTAGCATTTGAGAAAAGTCTGTAACTTTTAGCTTTAATAAATCGTAACAGTTTGTATGCCAAACAGAACTAAATCAAACAGTCAGCTTTTTACCAAACAGCTACCACCTTTTACTTTTAAGATCTTTTCAGTCATTAAAAGCTAACAGTTACTAAAAAGCTTACAAAAAGATCTTTTCAGCTAATTGTACCAAACATAGCCTAACACACCTTAAATTGGCGGGCCCGTTTCGGGTGTTTGTGAGTCTTTAGTTTAGTTTTAGTTTTGTAAATTAAAATCAAAGATTTAAAGAAGGAAAAGTGATCCAAATGAGTACTGAGTAAAAGAGCTGTGCAACTATGATCGAGTAGTTTTGATCGATATATTGTATAATCACAAACTAAAACTATAGTCAAACCATTATATTCATGAATGAATAATCACGATGGATTAATGGACACATTGTATGTCTAGGACTGCTAAAGAACTACTACCGGTAATAGACATATATGAAGAATGTGTATTTATATCTTATCTTACTATGGGGGTGTTTGGATCTGATTCTCAAAACTGATTCTGCTCCTTCAGGGAGCAGAAGCAGAAGCTGGAGTGTTTGGGTGAAATTCCAGAAGCACTTCTGGAGCTCAAATTTACTCTCAGAATCAGTTTTTTTAGAAGCTGGGAGGTACCAGCTTCTGGAAACTGATTCTGATTCTGCTTCTGCTTTTAAAAAAGAAGCAGAAGCAGAATCAGTTCCAAACACCCCCTATATATATCTTACTATATATATTAAATGCCTAAGATGGTTAAGTGTTCCATTTCCGTTAAAACAGTTGGACGGCAAATCCCTTTTGGCGTTGTCTCTTGCTGCCTTCCGTTGAGCTCCAGTGTCGAACGATCCTATTGACAGGGAGCACCTTGGCACTATTCAAACGTGTGTGTGAGCTGCTCCCTTGCCATAAATATCTAAACCCCTTGTTTGGTCGTGCGCATAGGCTCTTTGGTTCTTTGGTGTTGCTCTCACGCTTTTTGGTTTTATCAGCACTCTGGACACATCCCTTCATTTCGTTTCTGCGCTCTTCGGATTCAAGATCTAGGTTTACAAAAATCCCGAAGCGGCCCAGCCTCCATCAGTATGCCGCTTCCTGGTAGTCATCGCCCCTTGGCTAAGAATCGGGTAAACAACGACATCCAGTAACCAGCGCCTCTCACCCGATGTTGACTCATATCTTTTGACAATAGTATATCTTACTGAGTTTGAAGCTTAAGGTCCATTTGGAACTTCAGAGCAAGTCAATCGGAACGTGTATATATGTATTTATCTGTTTTTTCCAGGTTGGTTCATATTTCTTCCAATTGATGTTATTTTGAATATTTTTAAATCCTACCCTATATGTCGTATAGTAGTCTTTATTTCTGACTGGGAATAACAATTTCTATTTGACTTGCACAATTCTTTAATAAATATACAATCAGTGATACATATTGTCTCATTAATCCAATAGCTCTTAATGGAAATAGAGCATATCATGGATCAATGGTTGGTGTTGTTCATTTCCCAGCTGCTTTGAGAATTGAGAGTAAATATCAATCTATCTTTTTTTGTTCTAGATAAAGTTCTAGAAAAGAAGTGTCCTGGAGAAAATATATCAAGTCAGATGAACATTGAAAAAGAAAAAAGAACTCATTAACTATGTAGCATTTCCAATATAGCAAGTTATATATTCAGGGATCTTGATGCTCCAGTAAAGCTCCTGCAAAGTAAAAGAAAACAATAATTCTACCCTGCCTAAACAGTAGCTGCTAAACTTTCAATTCCTAGACAAAAACCATGCTGTTAACCGTTACCACAAGAGGCACCAAATGAAAAAATCAAAGAAGCTCCTCCGCCGGAAAACAAAACCTTTTTTTATGCTTTTCCCTATGGTCAATGAATTCTAGGACTATGTTCTAAAAAGAAAACGGAAAATCTGATGGCCTTGAAACGTTGTTATCATCAGCAAAAAGAGACTATAGAACAATTCTTTCAAGCGATGTTGCTTTGGGAGTTTGGGGTCTGTTTCGAAGGAAAATTAGTTTACAGATCAGAAAGCCCTCCAATCCAGTAGATTCATAGTTCAAGCCAACAATATGATGTGCACTGCCTAATACTACGTACTTGTTTATTTCTCCATATGGTATTTCAGAAATAATGCTAAGAAAAGAGGAAACTTTTACAAAAGCGGGGTTATCTTAGCGGTCTAGCCATATCGGGGTATACGAATCATGTATGAAAGTATCTAGCCTCTACGTTAAATATGTTGTTTATCCATGTACAGTATCATTCAAAAACTTAAGACATGTTTGCTTCACATGTTAGTAACCTGTGTTTATTAAACAATGTTTTACTAGACCGTTGAATTGTTTACAAAAATACTAATATTCGTGTTGTGTATGTAAGACAGATCATGAACATCGAGGCATATTTTGGATTGCTTTAATCTCTTGCACGTTATTTAAGTAGTTACATTTGATATGGACTAGCTTCGTTTATTCAGAAAGAATGTACTAAGAATCTTGGGGTGTCAGCTGAAGAGGGTTAGACTTTGCTCCCTTGACTCCACTTTTACTGAGGCCTCAATCTGTGATAAATTGCTTCATTTATATTCCAAGCCAAGATATTTCTTGCATTCCTCCTCAACAATCAGAATCTTCTTTTGTTTTTCTTTTTCGAAAAGCAAATTTCTTTGATTTCACATGCACCAAATTAGTGAGATTTAGGCCACTTACCTGGAGTTGCTTCTTGATTTGCAGGAATAAGATCGTGTTGCTTCATTATTTAAAAGCTTAACCCGGTGTAGCTGACTTCGTAAGTTGTTTCCTTTAGTTTTACAAAATTATTTTATTATAGATATGAACAATTGACACAAAAGTGCTTCACAAATGGATATCACGGGTACTACATACAATGTCTTTGGAATATCCTAAAGACATTGTTATACTCAAATCAACTTTTCTTTGTCTATTGATATATCTGAACAATTGACTATATTTTTATATTCAAATTAAAATTAATCACAAAAACAAAAACAAAAAAATTAAAATTAATCACAAAATGAAAGTGTATTACATTGTTTTGGTTTCACATCCGATTCTTCAATTGATTTTGGAGGTTTTTGTATGGAGAAAAGCTTTACCAACTGAGCATATCTTAATGGATACAATAGAAGATGCACAACAAGGTAAGGGTTTCTAAAGAAGGTAAATCAATTTTGCTCTGCCTTTTGCTTCAATTTTTCGAGTTTTTTGCTTCAAATTTTCTCTAATATAATTCAGAAAAAATGAAGGAACATCAAACGATTCTTAGCAGGTGCTTCAATTTTGATTTACTTTGTGTTTTGTAATAGGAACATCAATGTTTGAGGTATATCAGTTTTGATTCATGTTTTTAATTTTATATCTGATTTATATATTAATTTGTGGATGTGGTTGACATTTTTGAGTGTTACTTCTCTATTCTTACTTGGCTTAGTTTAATGTTTCACTAGCTAAGTAAACTATTTTATACCTAGAATTTGCATGATTTAATTAGTTACTTTTCATGTTTGTGAAGGTCAATATCCTTATTTTGTTGATAATAGAAGAACCAATAGGGTTGGCCCTGCAATACTTCAATTCGGAGGGTAGGTGAGTGACTCTGATCTCTTTCATGTGTTTTAGAAACTTCTCATAAATTGAGTTTATAGTATCAATTTAAAACTTCATTTATTATATACATATGATTTTTTTGAAAAGTATTGTTATATTGTTATGATTTTTTAAAACTTCAATACGTAATTGCCCCTATAGGTAGTGTATTTGTAATCCCTGCACCTTGTGCTCCATGAAATATTCTTTTTATTCTCAAACCTGATGATGATCAATATGTAATTCTGGCAGTTGCCCCTGGAAAAATTTTTCTTGATACAATCTGCCTTGCATCACTCCAAGTAACACACAGAGTACTTTTTAATAGAGAAAGGAGAGTAGCTACCGCCTCACTAGCCACCTGTTTTGCTTTGTATAACATTTGTAGCCCGAAAAAAACATTTTAAATGTTGACTTTACGGTTCACGGCCGGACCAATTATCCACGCGTTTAATTTGCATACTTGGAATTCAAGGACCAATTACAGTTGAAACTTTCACTGTAATCTGAAGTCATTTTTTGCCCTTTTAGCGTTACCCACCACCAATTTATGCACTCATTTATTATTTTTAACTGTGATGGAATTCAAGGAAGAAAATTGTGTGACAGGTGAGGCCTCTCAGTATGTGAAGTTGAAGGAATTGTTAGTGGACGGGTCATGGCTGCAAGCATTGCTAGAGGAGTTTGAGAAATTGTGTGTTAAAAACTTGTGTAAGTTTGTTGAGAATGAAATTTGTAATTGTGGTGTGCCGGTTTATCATCCTCAGCACTTGATTTACAATGCTCTTAACACTACCTCTATTGATAAGGTTAAAGCTGTCATCATTGGATAGGTATAAAATTATAATTTCGTGTTTCTTAATATAGAATGATCTTTTCTAATAAACTGATACAACAAGAGATTGCATTTGGTTCCACTTTTAAGTGAAAAAGGTTATTATAAACAAAAATATATCCCCAAATGATCTTTACATGTGTGACTTCTGAATGACACTTTGGTCTCATTTTCTCTATAGCTTTACGTCAAATGAATTTAAGCTTACATTTTCATCTTAAATGCCTGAATTGAGTTACTTCTTACTATTTTGCAGGGTGTTCTGCTTCTAAATGTTGTTCTTACTGGTAGTTGACGCAGTATCCACCAAGCTGGTTGTAAGCTAAGGTGGCATATATATAAATAAGTATGCAAATGGATGGCTTATGTGAACCTCAAAGAAAGTTCATATTGATTAAGTATGTTTCAGTTGATAACATATACATATACCTGATGATGAGAATTTTTCATTGTGCTTGGAGGATTCAAAGAATGACAGAGATACCATAACGACTTCATTTTTCATTCAATGCTTATACAAAAATATGTTCACAGCAAAAGGATTAAATTTTCAGACTATGTTTCAATATTAGTTGATTTAATATACAAATTTGATATTTTCTAATGCAGGTTGCTATTGAAAGAATAGATATAAACCCTGATGGAGTGGGAGATACAATTTTTGGTACTGTCTTGGACAAGGGCTCTCGAATTTCCGTTGAATGTAGAATGGCTACTTTTTATGCTGTTCTTCCTGGTACTATTATACTCTTGATTCATTTTTGTTTATTTTGAGTACCTAAATATATGAACAAGTAAAGGTTTAGTGGAGAATTATTAACATCTACTTCTGGGATTTGGAAGTCGTAGCCTTGAACTAAACTCTCCCATTAAACTAAAAAAATATATTCTTATGTAGGAGGACCAGCTAGAGCAAGCTTGCTTTGGGTGTCTATGATAATGTTATTGGCAATTTGACACACTATGGGATCCTACTACCAGTGAAGAACTTGTTGCAGTCAACTGAAGGAGAAGAATATATATTCCACACCAAAACAAGTTTGTATCCTTATGCCATTCTTTGATTTATAATATCAGGATATGGGCAATAGGTTATTGTTGTTAAATTGTAGTTCATTAATTTATTATCATTTAGAGTGATAATGACTAAATTAACCATATTATTTGGAATAAATGACTAAAACCGCTTACTTCTTGGTGAAGTTGACTTTGAGTTAAACTTTTTTTGGACAAAAAAAAAAGGTTCTCCACATGTTTTTCTGGGGGTGGGGGAAGGGTGTATCCATCATGTTCTAAAGTTTATGTGAAGATTGTTTTTCTATGAGAATGACCAGTAATGAATTAATGATATAGTGCATCTTTTGATATTAGTCACTGCAATAGTTTATTGTAGTTATCGAAGCTATATTACTACTATATTAGTAGGAAGCAAACAATTTTAAAAACTACATATAGGATGATTAATCTATTTGGTTGTCTATTATAGAGTATCGTTTTTATCAATTTTAACATTTTTAGAATATACATTTAGATTAGTTTTCTTCTGGCCTCTAATTTTTTTAAATGACGTGTGAAGTGTGAACTATATGGAAGTCCATGGTATACTGAGGAGCTTATATTATACTTCGTAACTTTTATTGACTAGCCTTGTAAGTCTAGCAACTTTAATTCAGGTTTTATTTTAACGAACATTTGTTTGCCAAATATTCTTACAGAGTGAAGATCCACATGTTGGACCTCGTCAACTGAAAGAGATTTATCAATGGTACCCAAAAATACTGTTTAATTGAGAATAATGAGTCAATCCCTATTTTCCGTTTTTGTTCTTTGTTTAAGAGATAATATTTTCTTTATTATCATCCTGCACTTCACTTTGACACTTGTTCTTAACTATAGATTTCCCTTTTATTCACTAAAAATAATAGATTTCCCTAAAAATAGATTTCATAGATTTTCTTATTTGTGCTTTCATCCGCTAAAAATAACTTTGACCATGATGCTAATTTAGCTTAGAAGGATGCAATGTTATTACTTTAAAATGTCTCCCTCTTAAATTATAAAAACATTTGTCTTTTCATTGCTTCATGTGCTTCCCTGTTTGATGTTGTTCAAGTAGCACTAAAGCATGTTAGAGTATTATAACTTAGACAACTTTTTTACTCATTTGGAAATCTAGGATGTTAATCCTTTGAAGTAGAGGGAACATGTGCATGTGGGTCATGATTGATAACAATCTGTTTAAGTTTTACGTCCTGTTAAATTTTAATAGTACTAAGTTAAAACATTAGTATCCCACGAATTTTCTACTTGAGTAACAATGTTGCTTTCACGCTTTCGCTTTCAGGACCTTCCGGGATTACAGAGAGGTAGCTCTGAAACACTTGGAGGGTACTAAAGACTCTGCTGACTCAAACCTTCTTCAAAAGGCTCATGTTAACTATGAAGGGGTAAATTTGTTTCTTAATTTCACTCGGTAGTCAATACTGCCAGCTCTAATCTTGGTTAGTTGTATGCAGTTGAATCCATACTTTGAATGGCTGTAGGTCCCATTTTTTGCTATGACATGTAAACTAAACTTTAAGTTAGGGCCATCGTATCTGCGGTGCTTGCTGAGGTGCTTGCTGACTGCTTTCATGTAATTGACACATTGAACTTGTTTTTTTTTTGCTGTGATGAGACGCACCTATGCATCTAGCAGGAACATCCTCTCTTTGCCCATCAAATTAGTGTATTCCGTACATATACATTGTTCGCTATGCATGTGAGAACGGTTCAACCAAAGGTTATTCATTATCCATGCAGGTCGCTAAAGCTTCAAACCCGCTTCTCGTTTATTTCTCCATCATTGGGCATCGTTTGTTAATTATTAAATGCCTAAGATGGTTAAGTGTTCCATTTCCGTTAAAACAGTTGGACGGCAAATCCCATTTAACGCTGCATCTTACTTTCTTCCGTTGAGCTCTCGTGTCGAACGCTTCTGTTGACAGGGAGCACCTTGGCGCTGTTCAAACGTGTGTGTGAGCTGCTCCCTTGCCATGAATATCTAAACACTTGTTTGGTCGTGCGCATAGGCTCCTTGGTTCTTTGGTTTTGCTCTCACGCTCTCTGCACTTGAGGAGTGTTTGACTTTGATGATTCGGAAGGAGAGTGAAAACTTGCCTTCATGCGATTACCTGAAGAGATTGAGGAATGGGAAGATGGATGTTGCCTCTAGAGATGAGGTTCTTGACTGGATTGCAAAGGTTTGTTTCTTTAACCCTCGATTCGATCTTAATAATGATCTCGTTCTCAAGATTCTTTTTTTGAACTTTGTTTACTGATCGAACATAATGATAAATTAATGCTCGATTAGTACGGTCTGTGTTAAGGCTGTTTTTTGGGCGACTTTGATAAAAGTTTCTTTTTCTTGTCTGGCTTTATGTGTATTTGTTTTTTGTTGTTGCTGCTAAACTGATTCGTTCACTTTTTTTTTCCTGCGGTGTGATTATTGATGTTTATAGTTAATCTAATTATGCATCTTATTATGATGGTGGTTTCGCTTAATAGGTTCACTCACATTTCAATTTTGGACCACTCTGTGCATATTTGGTTGTGAGTTACCTTGATAGGTTTCTGTCTGCATATGATTTTCCTGCAAGTATACTACTCCCTCCGTATCTTTAAAATCTTCCCATTTCAAAAGTAGGTAGATTAAGAATAGTGAAAGATGATATGAATTATTGAGGGTATGATGGGAAAATAGTGGAATAATATGGTGGAATGTAGGATAAATCCAAAAAAAGTAGTTGTAATAGTGTATTATTTTAAGAATTATTGAGGGTATGATGGGAAGATTTAGAAATGGGAAGATTTTTGTGTTACGGACGAAAAAGGAAAGTGAGAAGATTTGTAAGTTACGGAGGGAGTATTATTATTACTCAATGTCATTGAGCTTTAATGTGTCTCTAATCTATATAATTACTCTAAATGAATCACATTATAATGAACTTTTAACTTGTTATATAGGAGAGTAAGAGCTGGATGATGCAGCTTTTAGCTGTTGCTTGTTTGTCTATAGCAGCCAAAATGGCGGAAACTGATGTCCCCCTCTCTCTAGATTTACAGGTGAATATTTAAGGAAATTAACTAATTATACTTTCTAATAGTGGCCTAAATCAAGATTTTGTTGTTAAAATGTGATGGTTTTTGTTTTACTAGACTGGGGATAGCAAGTATGTGTTTGAAGGTAGAACCATTCAAAGAATGAAGCTTCTTGTGTTGACTACACTTAAATGGAGAATGCAGGCAGTCACTCCATTCTCATTTATGGATTACTACCTCACGAAGATAAACAGTGATCGAATTGCTTCATGTTCTTCCATTGTCAAATGCACAGAACTCATACTGAGCACACTTAAGGGTAAATTTGTTCAGATGTACATTTGTGACCTTGATTAATGCTTTATCATTTCCTAGACTAATATTTAGGTGTTCAAATTAATGACAGGGATTAACTTTATAGAATTCAAGCCATCTGAGATTGCAGCAGCTGCAGTGGCTATATCTGTTGCAGTAGAAAATGAGGTTGTAGACATTGAGAAAGCAATTTGTTCACTTACCCCCCAAATACAAAAGGTAGAATATCTTATGGCTATGTTTGAAAGGGTGGAAAACTGTAGGGAAATGAGAGTAAAATCCTACTATTGTTTTGAAAAAAAAGTTTTTCAAAGTTTTTCAAGGCGAAATCAAATTTTCTCTAACTTTTTAAAAGTTTTTCTTTCATTTACATTAATGCTCATTATGCAATAGAGTTATACTACCTCCGTCCCAATTTGTTTTGCAAAGTCAACAATTTTTGGTCAACCAATAATAAAAGTCAACCCTCCGTATGGATAATTAATTCAATTTTTAATAATTAAAATTTACATATTCAAAAACTACATTAAAATCTCTTCAAAGTTGTAAACTCCAAATTAGAATATAATTAAAAATTTACATCCTAATTAAGTGAACAAAGTGAGACTGTTTGACTAAAAAAAGTCAAATTTGCAACTCTTTTTGGGATGGAGGTAGTAGGAAAGAAATGTGCCTGGATAAGTGTCAAAGGTAATTGTTTTTAGTTCAAATGAAATATTATTATTACTATAGTTACTTCCCAATGTTTTCTATCCTTTTAAACTTCCACTTTATTTTCTTTACCTAGCATTTTCTCCAAACTTACCCAGGTGTTCTTTGTTATAGCATTATTATAACTTCAAGGGACTGTTAACTTGCGGCTTAATGGACTTAATTAATGAGAAAAGTGATTTAATCGTTAAACCATTAAGTCATGTTTACTTGTAACTAATTGAAAGTAGGACCTCTTTCATTCAAAAAACCAACTTATGTTAAAGCTTTAATACAGTACCCAATAATTTTAAATTGATTATTTTACTTAATTCGGACTGTTTTGTTGAGAACACAAAATAAATAGTCTACAAATATCACTTGATCCAAGTAAACATCTTAATACAGACGTACATAGTCCATATTGGATTTAATACAAAAAGTAAATTGCTCAATATGGTGAAATATTTAACCAACGCTTCAAATTTGTGTATAATAATCTTCAGGAGAGAGTGATGAGATGTGCGGAAGCAATGCAAGAATTTTCATCTCCTAGCGGTTTTCTAACGGTTCAAAGAACATCACATGTAAGTGTACCAAACAGTCCTATACTCCTATCAGTGTTCTAGAGGCCGCCTCCTGCTTGAGCTATTCAACTGCTGATGATTTGGGGGTTGGGTCATGTGAAGTTGAGTCCTCTCATGACAATCCGATTACAAAGAGGAGGAAGCTGGGAGATTGAAAAAAGAAACAACCTGCGAGTACAAAACAAATTGGATGGTTTCAATGATATGATCAAGAAGTGGTTTGTATGCTTATTAGCATTGAGGAGAAGCTGTCGGTTGTTATAAATGTTTTAAGACTTCTTGACAAATCTTTGAAGGTGATTTTTTTAGGAAAACATGATGATGATGATGATGATGATGATGATGATGATGAAGATGATCAGAACATAGTTGTTTTTTTGTTTGTTTTTTCTTTCCTATGAGTATTATTATGTTAGATATGTTTGGTGTTTATTTTTACATTGTGAGGTCATTTTTGTGGAAAAAATGCAGAAACAGAGAAAAAGAGGAAGGGGACTTTTTTTTAGGAATTGTTACTTCCTAGTGGTGTTGTGGTTTACATAGCACTGTTTTGTGTATATAAATTGGGATTTGTGAAGGTTTCACAGTTAATCCAGTGAATTTAGAGGGGATGGCCTCTCTAAGATGGGGCTATGTGATATATAAAAAAGTTGACAACATTCGAGACCGCATCATAAATCAGGTATTTACATTTCTTTGTTAGATGTTACTCCGTACAATATAGCACTTTGTTTGTCGAGGTTTACGATGAGCGTGAAGGTTTTGTTTATATCATTCCACAGTGGATCTGTGAGTATTCTATACCTTCCGAGTCAAATTTCTTACTAATTTGGTAAAACAAGTTAGGCTGCATTTGCTTTTTTATTCGCATTATGTGATGTAAACACCAAGCTTATTGATGCCTGTTAGAAACCTCCAAGAAATCCAGAATAATCTCAGAAAATTAATGGGGAACAACTGAAATCTTTATTGATGAATATGATCGATAACAGAGAGAAACAGTACAAAGGCCGAAGCCTCCCAAAGAGAAGAGAAAACAGATTCTCTAATCTTCCCAAGTCCCAAAACAGGATGTCCAAAAGCCTCCTAATTACTCCCACTTTACATCTATTTATAGACCTCCGGCCACACCAGCTATAGACATTATCTAATAACCCCCAAAACACTTATTACAACTTATTCTATTTATTATTAATATTCTCAGTAGGTCCCTAACAAATCTCCCCCCTTAAACATCCACCTTGCCCTCAAGGTGGGTGATAGGACACAACCAAGATCCCCAGTTTCCTCTTCATCCTTATGCCTCTCCCTTCCCAATATTTGAATGCTTGCTGGCCCTGTAGCTTTGTTTCTTCCATCTTCTTCCATATGTATTTCACGGCAGTAATACACAGTTGCAAGGATATGGTGACATAATGATCCTTAAGTTTGTAAAGGATATAATATCTTAAAGATGCCTGGCAGCTTACAGTCCTCACAAACAGTCTGGAAACTTCGGATCCTGATGTTATGTGCTGCTGGATGTCTACAGGGGCACCAGCACCACTTGGAGAAAAGAAAACTTGAGTGTTGATTCTCTTTTTTAGGTGTAATCTTGTTTCCTCAGGGATATTACTCAGCCTCTTTGCTTCCCTGACTGAGTTTGCATCTAACTTGATTAGCCCGAGTGATGAGAAGGAAGCTATGACCATTCTCCCCATTAAACTATCCTTCATTGCCATCCTAATGAACTTGATCTTTTCAGAATTTATGGAGGATAAGGCATAGCATGCTACCTCATAGAGAGCAGCCACAACTTGCTTACAAAGATCTTCATCACTATTCTGCAATCGCTCACAGAATGCAAACATATTCTGATGAGTTTCAGCTATACTTGGGCCATAGAGCAAACCAGTTTTAACCTTTTCATGAACACTCATACAGACTTCCACTTTTTGATCAATCAATCTCTTCAGAAAATCCCTATCTAACTGTTGAAAACCCACATTGATAACAAATTTGGGTTTAGCCAAGAGGCCAGAAAACCAGCTACACAATTCCAATCTTATACCCCGTCCTTCAGTTTCTGGGCTTAATGAATCATCCATGAGTTGCCTTCTGTTGGAAACATCAACTACAACAGCTTGATTCGTAAAGTCCATATCCACACACCTTGTATTCAATTGGTATTCAAGAGTCAACTTATCAGCCCCTTTCATTCTAAGACTATCAAACTTGTTTAAGGACTTCATTCCTTCCAAAGTAATGTTTAATGACTGGCAGTACATCATTTCATACTTTAAAACATTAACCAAGTTCATCTCGTGTATGAAACTAGAAGCCAATGAGGATCTTGCCACACAAACTGCAGGATTACAAACCTTAAGAATCTTGAAAATATGGGTTCCCAATTCTGACCTGATAAGCCCGTACCTGGAGGGTTTGATACATGTGGGAAAATAAGTGATTGCTCCTGCTGCAGGTCCAAGATTAACTGAAGATTTCTCCTTACTTTCCTCGTTGCCATAAGTGTGTGTATCCTCCGTGGGCGGTAATTGCTGATTGACCAACTTCTGCTGCGCTTCTGGGGACTCAAATAGAGATTGCGAACTCAGGTTTTGTACTCGATCTTTGCTCTTCTTTTTCTCCACTATTTCGCGCTTCTCTTTCTCCATTTTATCGCGCTTCTCTTTCTCCATTTTCACCATTTTTCCGCTGGAAGCCTTAAGCGACATCGAACCAGAATGAACAGTTCGCGACTCCTCCAATCTGGTCCTTCTTTCCTTCGCCCCATCCCCTTCTACCGTTTCTTTGCTCTTCGTATGCTTCTCCTTCGCTAATTTTTCGCGCTCCATCTTTTCCGCGGTCTTCTCCATTTTTTTGTGCGAAGCCCTTCGAGAGTGCGAAACGGAAGAAACAGTTCGCGGTTCCTTCTGCGGTTCTTTCTGCGAATTGGTGCTTAATTTGCGATGCGATGCGTCAGATGCATAAGACCTTCTTTGCGACCTTTCTTGATCTCTCGCCTCCTTTCTGGCGATCATCGTTGCCAATATCTCCATAGTTCGTTGATGATTCCTCTTCAAGTCCTCCCATCGTGCTTCCATCTTTGCGCGCGTCAAAACTCAACCAGCTTTGGATGTTTGTTTCTCTCAAGTATTTCGTGAGGGAAGTGGTAAATGACTGGAAAAAAAAGTTGCGCCTGTAGCTATGTATTTGTTAAGTTTTAAACGGTTTTATCAGGAGAGCAACTTAACCACAGCCAAAAGTCTCAAGCTTTAAGTGGTTTTATCAGGAGAGCAAGTAATGCAATTACGAACTTTGCTCACAGGTTTGATTCTCCTTCAACCTAATGATCTTTCTTGGAATTTTGTATTTTTTTAGTTTATGAGGTATTTTGTTTTGGTTTGTTAATTTGTTTTTAGTAATTTAGTTACTTGCTCATCCCTGTGTTAAAGCTTTCAGGCCTTCCGGAGATCCCGGGACAACCTTCTCCCTTCTAGCTACGTCGCTACTAGACAAGATGTCATATGTGGTATGTCCATGAGTTCAGTCCCATGACTTGGAAATTTTTAATTTTTTTCCAGCTTTATTTGGTTCTTTGAGTTCATTAGTGTAGTTGACAACATTGAACTATTGTTTCCCTTTTTTCTTTCAGAATATATTTACAAACCTTTCTCACTTCTTTATTGTCCATCATTGGGCATCGTTCGTCGCGCAACGCGCGTCCAAGCTAGTATATATATATATACCTTATTATGCCGATAATTTCGCCCCGCGGAAGTGCTGCCAGAACCTCCATTACGACTACCGCCAAAAGGAGAGCGGTACGACGCTTCATTTTGGCGCGAGGCTAGTTTTGATGGAGAATACTACTCCCTAATAAGCTATTAAGCTCTAATGTGTTTTGCTCTGCTTCTGCCTTAATTGGTGAGGCACCAAACCATTCAATATATATTCCGTAGAAAATACAGATGCGAGGTTAGTTCGAGGAAAAGCCGACTGTATTTGCCTTTTAACCCTTTCATAACAGTCGAGTTTATGAGATTTTGGTTAAGCGGCTGAATGAGTTAAATATGTTTAATTGTGAAAAAAATTTAAATGTAAACATATTTAAATATTTTATTTATAAAATTGAGAAAAATTACATGAGAAATAACTAAAACGATCCTTTGTACAGTATATTCACTCGATTCACCCACAAAATACTAACGATATTTAATTTGAGAGGTTATGAATCATGTACCACCATCTCATCTCGTAAGGAAATGAATGAATAACTAAAAAGTCTAAAGAAAGACTCATTACAAATTGAAGAGGAGTGTCCCCAAACTAGAGTGTGAATGATTTCTAAAAACTTTTAGACTGGAAACTGGAAAGTGAAGTCTTTCCGACAGTTTTTAAAAGTGTAGAATCTAAGCCCTTTAAGCAGATACCCCTTGACGAAAGAAGATTGAAGGTGAGTGGGACATTTCTTCAAACTAAATATTAGGACGGGATAAAATGATTTGGTCCAATTGAACTGAACCATATCAAATCAAAGATTGATAGTTTGATTTGGTTTGGGTTGATCGGAGTAAACCGTTTGATAACAAATTGCTCAAACAGAATGATTTTGTTTTTAATTGAAAAGAACGTAAACTCAACCAGACAATTTATTATATTTATTAAAATAATTCTTATTTGTCTTCACTCTTCATATATCTTCCGGACATAAATAAATAACTTAGATTTGAACAATACTCGGTACATGTTTAGTATATATCATTTTAACTTTTACACATTTCATACATTTATTATGACAAAGTTAGCTAATACTCCGTATAGCATAGTTGTATTTGTAATATTGTGTACACTATAAGATAATATGTTTGGTGATCACAATAACATATTGCATTTTTATCAATTTCAGTTAATTAAGCTAGAATACAATATACATTTTACATGATTTTTTTGAATAAAAGTATGAATTCTACAACATTTTTTCACCGCCGACTCCTTTAGTTTTCATTGAATTGAATATTTGATCAGGGTCCAACGCAACTGGTCGCCGACTCACTCTCACTTACGGGAGGTCTCGGGTTCGAAACTCAATGGAGTGAGTTTCAGCCCTGATTACTCCAGGCCCCCAGGCCAGGCCCCCTCCCCAGACGCCCCCTGGAGTAAAAAAAGAATATTTGATGTGATATTATAAATGTGAATCAACAATAAGTTTAACTTTTGTGAGCGATGAATCTTTTTTCTAGTGGTTGGGAAAATGTTAGACATATAATTATATGTAGGGAAAACTGTCAAATAGGTCCCCGAACTTTCATAAAAAAGTCAATTAAGTCCTTCTATAGGAGACTTTGTCCGGTCGTCGCGATTTGGGGCGGTTCCCGGTGGAATTTTTTGATGAAATTTTTTGAGCATCTTATTCATCAAGTCTAGTTTACTCATACCAAATTTCAGTTAAAAATTTAATCGGGAGCGCATTCAAATTAATTCGAGAACGCAAAAATGCGCAGTTATTTTCAAGAATTAATTTGAATGTGTTCCTGATTGAATTTTTAGCTGAAATTTGGTATGAGTAAACTAGACTTGGTGAATAAGATGCTCAAAAAATTTCATCAAAAAATTCCACTGAGAACTGCCCCAAATCGCGACGGCCGGACATAACCTCCTATAGAAGGACTTAATTGACATTTTTATGAAAGTTCGAGGACCTATTTGACAGTTATCCATTATCTTTATATGATCATCAAATAACACCAAGTTAAACTCATCATTTCCATCAAGATGACGGATGACATATGAGAAAAGTTGTGTGACTGCTACATTTATTATTGTTTATGTGTAAAAATTTATACTTAAAAAATGTCAGGTTTAGAAAAATCTATAATTTTGATATGCTTGTTTGGAAAAACATTATAATCCAATAGTATTTCACGCTTTAGTCTTTTGGGATGCTATCTTAGCTTTAGCCGTCATGCAATTAATTTTGGTATTCAATAATTGCATCGTAACAATACAAAAACATGGGATCATGGGGATGAAGTTTTCCTTTTTTATTTTAAACTATTGCTGATCCTTTCAGTTTATACTCAATTGAATGTGTTTTTTTTGCTCAAAAAAATGGTATGTGTTTAAAGCGCGTTTAAAACGCAAAAAAGCTAACTAGATTCTAACTATCCAAATTGGTTTTTGGTTCTAGTCGTCGGTTTCTGGCTCGACACGATCGGTCTGAATCGATTTTTTAAACAAAGCAAAGGATATGATGAGAAAATAAAAAGTTAAACATCAAGAGCAAATACCGCATAAATTTATAGGAAATACCGTGGAAGGCTAGTATGATAGCAGTTTTACTAGCTTAGGTCACCAAGAAATGGTATGATGATAAATTAAATAAAGGCATAAGGGCCAGGGCATTAAGACTTAAGAGGAAGTTTTTTGACATTTTAAAAAGCAATCAGGCTTTTAAAGCAATAAAGGTAAGGGTTGGGGCATTAATGACCTGTTTGTTTGGGGTTAACTTACGTTATTGAAAGTTCAATTTCTAGTTAACCCCGTTTGTATTTTTGCAACAAGAATCTAGGTTATGTGTTAATCTCATTTAACTCCCGAGAATCTGGAAGAATCTTAAATTGAAGAACCTTCAAATCGTGAGGTTTTTGGAGGTTAAGTTCTCGTATAACATAAAATGAGCTAAAATACTTTCACCCAAACAACATTTATTACATTAAACTAGGTTCGGCTTCTATATTTCCAAACACTATTTTACGTATGGATCTAGGTTCACTTAGGTTAACCCGATTTTTGTAAAAACTTAGGTTTACTTTATTACACTAGGTTTACTTAACTTCACTTTATCCAAACAGAGCATAAGAGGAAGTTTGCTTGAAGATGCAGTTGTTCTCGGTTGGCGAATTGGTAAAGTTATTCGTGAGAATGGAGAGTTATTTTTATTTTACTGCTTTTATTTTTGTTGTTTTATTTAAACAGACTGTTTTCTCCTTTGTTGCTGTTACTCCGTATTTTTTATTGTAAGACTCTTGCATTAAGATGAGGTGAGTTTAGATCGACTTCAATCGTCTGTGGCTCAGGTTTGCCCATTAATGGATCAACGAGTTATATTGCTTGTTTGAAGGTGATTAGCTCCAAGTCTGATTCGAGGGCTAACGGTTTTCTGTGATCTTTTACTCAGTTTATTGCCTTTCCGAATGCTAATGCTTTGATTTCAAAGTCCCCTTCTTCCAAAAAAAAGTAAAACAAGCCTCGTCATTAGTTCATTATTATTATAGTACTAGTAGTATATTTAACATATCCAGAGAATGCTCGAATCTACTTTTAAAATTGCCTGTACTCATTCAAGGATTATAAGAGGAAAATGCTAAGTATACACACCATGTACACAAGTTGTACATGGTATAAAAGCAAAAAAAAATCTCATTTCTTCATCCCTCTTCTCCTCTCTCGGTTCTCTCTTCCTTCTCTCTTCTTCCTCTCCCCCTTCTCTCTTTCCTCTTTACCCAATCTCTTCTAAAATTCTCAACAACAACAAAAATTATCTTCTTCATCCTCATCTTTCCTTCTTCATCCTCTTTTTCTCTACCTTTACTTAACAATTTTTTTCATTATTTGCACAATATCAACTTATTCATCTTATTTCATATATTTTTATTATGTTTCTAATTTTATTCAAATTAATGTAAATTGATTACACATCCAACTACATCCTTCATTTGGATGTATATAGAAAATTGAGTTTTTGTTCACCCAGACAATTAAAATTGATCACACAGACAACTAAAGTTGATCACACAGACAACTATTGTCTGTGGAACGCACAACTATTGTCTATGTGGTAAAAGTTGTCTGTGCACACAGACAAATAATTGTTTGTGCAACATGAAAATATTGTGTGTGCACACAGGCACTGCACATATATTGATTGATTTGCAAGCTGATGTCAGTGTTAGGCAGCTGTCAGCGTACTTTTTACAAAAAGTAAATGTTTGTGGACACAAACAAAAGTTGTTTGTGTACACAGACAACTCTTGTCTGTGACCACAGACAATTCCGTACCAATTGTCTGTGACCGACATTTTGTGTACAAGTTGTGTACCCTAGCATGGTTGATTATAAGATATGAGAATGTTTAAGTCAAACACTTCTGGATCCTCCAAATTGTTCTCACGAGTTGTCTATTATTAGATGCTTCAAATTACTCCTACTCGTTATCTATTTATTATTTGGCCACATTAGCAAAGCTAAGGTATCATACCGTACCTACTACCTACTACCTACGGAATAATTAAGAGAATAATGGATCCTGTATAAACAAATCATTTCGAGCTAGAAGAAACGCATTTTATTAAGGAACAAAAATGCTATAGGTACCACAACTTTACCCCATTTTCTACCCCATATAAATACCCTATTTTCTTACCATCCTTTTTACCTCTTTCCAAAAATACTTTTCTCTCACCTCTCTCACATCTCCCCAACCCACTCCTCAACTTTACGCCAAAACATCTCTCCTCCTTCAAAACTTGCTATAGTGCTCAACAAATCCTCTCACCTGCTTCTTTCTTTCATCTTCTTGGATGGATATATGGGGAAGGAAGTATCCGAGTTTAGCGATGGGTTGTTTTGGATGGCTTGACATGGGAAGATGAAGGTCACAAGCTTGATGACGTGGGTGAAGGTGGAAATCTGCCATCTCCGGTCGATGTTGAAGTAGCGACGACTTCAAGGGAAGAAGATGATGAAGGTGTGGACGTTGAAGTCTTGGAGAAGAGTATGTTGTTTTTCGTCATTTGTTTGTATTTTGTTTGGCGGACAGACATTTTGGAACTGCAGTGTTTGTCTAGCCTAAAGTGAAAGCGGTTTCATAGTTGTTTGAAGTGAACATGGTTTTATATGAGTTAGAGTCGTACATAAAATGTGTGTGTGACCAGACAACTTTTGTGTATGATATAAAAGTGAATAATTGATTAGTTTGTTTCATTGTAATGATTTTGAGGTGTTAATTCATTAAAATTTTAGTGTAATTTCTCTAATTCATTTTATGCCCATAACATGTTTGTAGAAATTACTCAATGAAGTTTTTGTTGAAATTCAAGACTTTTTTCCATTCTTTCCTTGATCTTCTTGGATGGATATCATGGGAAAGGAAATATCCCACTTTAGTGATGAGGTTCTTTTGGATGGCTTGACATGGGGAGATGAAGGTGACAAGGTTGATTAACTACTCTTTGTCTTACAGCCAGACAAATTTTGTCTGGGCCAGACATTAGTAGTCTGTGCCAATTAACTACTCTTTGTCTTACAGCCAGACAAATTTTGTCTGGGCCAGACATTAGTAGTCTGTGCCAATTAACTACTCTCTGTCTTACAGCTAGACAAATTTTGTCTGGGCCAGACATTAGTAGTCTGAGCCAATTAACTACTCTCTGTCTCACGGCCCGACAAAAGTTGGTTGTGCCAGACAATAGATGTCTCTTCCAAACAAATTGACTATGCCTAACATGTGTTATTTGTATCAAATATGTGTTCTGACTATGTGTTGTGTATTAATCGTAGGTTGAACAATGTGTTGGGAAAATGTGTTGAGTATTGTACAATGTTACATGTTCAATGTTGAACAATTGGATTCAGTTTTTTGAACATGTGTAAGTTTTTGCAAACATTACATGTACAATCATCCACTTATGTATGTTGACCTTTTGTTTGTCTCGGTATCTGCGGTATGGTCTGTACTCACCCCGACGAGGAGTTTACAAATTGGGGTGAGGACAGCTTTATAGTACTTTGTAATTAATTTCTTAAAGTACAAATTGGGGTGAGGACAACTTTAACACCTCAAAAAAGTTTGCACTTCTTAAACTCCTCGTCGGGTAAATTTTTTTGGGGTGAGGACAGGTTTATAGTACTTTGTAAGCTTTTTGTTTTTCTCAAGGGGTGAGGACAAACAAAAAGCTTACAAAGTACAGACCATACCGCAGCAAGTCTCAAGGGGATGATCTGTAGCATACCGCAGGAGGAGTTTAAGAACGACAAAAAGTTGTCCTCACCCCTTAACCCACCCCCACGAACCAACCAACCTCACACTTGGTTTCAAGCTCTGAGGCAGTGAAGAGGCAGTTCCCGTCCGACTACACCTCCCCAAACGAGGTTGATGACGAAGGTGAGATGGTCTTGAAAGACTTGAGATGGTCCTTTTTCCTCATTTTTTGGTATTTTTTTCGTCCAACTCCACATGAAAAACGGTTGTGTGTCTGACAGACAAATTTGAATTGCAGCGTTTGTCTAGCTGAGCATTGTTTCACAATTGGTAGAGTCTTACACAAGATGTCTGTCCGGACAGACAAATTTATTTGTTTGAGTGTATGTATGCACATCTTATTTTACAAATGTATTTTATAGTATGTGTGATGACTTTTTTGATGTCTCTCTTCGGATGTTGAAAATTGGTTTGTAGTTGTCTGTGAAGTGAAAAGAGATGTCTGACAATCCATTTGAATTGTCTGTAATGTGATATAAAATGTATGGCCTTTCTTCTGAGTTGTCTGTCTACAGATCGAGAGAATGTGGAGTGATTGTGGCTTCCTTTGCAGAGCACCTGTTAATGGGAAAGCCATTGATTCTAGGTTGTGAGTATGCAAACACGTGGAACAAGAGATGTCAATATGTCGTTCGTTTGTGGCGATTGGAGAAGGTGGAGGAAGCATAAGAATTGTTATTAATGTGGGAATGTGTTTTTGTGGGTTGTTTTGATGAGTTTAGTAAAACTGTATTTTATAGTACATTTTGATTAGTTTAGTAATTGATAATGTGGTTATATAAAAGTGTTCAAAGATATGATTGTATTTGTTAATGTACAAAGATAACCGTTGAATAGACAAACAACAGAGATAACCAGACAGACATTACTTTCACGCAGAAAGAAAATGACTTTACACATACAGACCATACCGCAGATACCCAGACAAACAAAAGGTCAACATACATAAGTGGATGATTGTACATGTAATGTTTGCAAAAACTTACACATGTTCCAAAAACTGAATCCAATTGTTCAACATTGAACATGTAACATTGTACAATACTCAACACATTTTCCCAACTGTAATATGAAAAAAAATACATGTTCAAAAATTCACAAGTTCAAAACGGGCACATTTTCCCAACACTCTATACTTCAGCATTCTTCAAGACTAGTTTATATAATCCTTGCATTTGTTTCTCCATTGCAAAAGAAGTCACACATGGTATCATTTTTGTAAATGAATTAGCGTCCGCTTGGAACTCTTTTTCAGCCTTACATTTTAAGTCATTCGTCATCTTGAATTGAATACCTATGATTAATACACAACACATAGTCAGAACACATATTTGGTACAAATAACATATGTTAGGCATAGTCAATTTGTTTGGAAGAGACATCTATTGTCTGGCACAACCAACTTTTGTCGGGTCGTGAGACAGAGAGTAGTTAATTGGCCCAGACTACTAATGTCTGGCCCAGACAAAATTTGTCTGGCTGTAAGACAGAGAGTAGTTAATTGGCACAGACTACTAATGTCTGGCCCAGACAAAATTTGTCTGGCTGTAAGACAGAGAGTAGTTAATTGGCACAGACTACTAATGTCTGGCCCAGACAAAATTTGTCTGGCTGTAAGACAAAGAGTAGTTAATCAACCTTGTCACCTTCATCTCCCCATGTCAAGCCATCCAAAAGAACCTCATCACTAAAGTGGGATACTTCCTTTCCCATGATATCCATCCAAGAAGATCAAGGAAAGAATGGAAAAAAGTCTTGAATTTCAACAAAAACTTCATTGAGTAATTTCTACAAACATGTTATGGGCATAAAATGAATTAGAGACATTACACTAAAATTTTAATGAATTAACACCTCAAAATCATTACAATGAAACAAACTAATCAATTATTCACTTTTATATCATACACAAAAGTTGTCTGGTCACACACACATTTTATGTACGACTCTAACTCATATAAAACCATGTTCACTTCAAACAACTATGAAACCGCTTTCACTTTAGGCTAGACAGACACTGCAGTTCCAAAATGTCTGTCCGCCAAACAAAATACAAACAAATGACGAAAAACAACATACTCTTCTCCAAGACTTCAACGTTCACACCTTCATCATCTTCTTCCCTTGAAGTCGTCGCTACTTCAACAGCGACCGGAGATGGCAGATTTCCACCTTCACCCACGTCATCAAGCTTGTGACCTTCATCTTCCCATGTCAAGCCATCCAAAACAACCCATCGCTAAACTCGGATACTTCCTTCCCCATATATCCATCCAAGAAGATGAAAGAAAGAAGCAGGTGAGAGGATTTGTTGAGCACTATAGCAAGTTTTGAAGGAGGAGAGATGTTTTGGCGTAAAGTTGAGGAGTGGGTTGGGGAGATGTGAGAGAGGTGAGAGAAAAGTATTTTTGGAAAGAGGTAAAAAGGATGGTAAGAAAATAGGGTATTTATATGGGGTAGGAAATGGGGTAAAGTTGTGGTACCTATAGCATTTTTGATTAAGGAATTAGGAAAGCAATATACTGTTTGGCTCTACTTTCTAGTCTCTTGTGCTCTGTGAAATTAAGACTTGCAATCCTTTTTCATTAACCTGCTTGGTGACACTTCTATTCATCATAAAATAATTTTTTAGCCAAGATTTCTGTTTTGAACTTATTCTATTTTGGTTAAAAATTTTTAGCCAAGATTTCTGTTTTGAACTTATTCTATTTTGGTTAAATTGTTGGGTGTGTTTTGAAAAACAAAAAAATTAATTACGGAGTACTAAAGATTAATTAAAAATGACTAAAAAAAGCGAAAAATAGATGGAGCAGAATTTAGCCAAAGCTCGTGCCACACACGATGTCCTTAAAACGTATTCGTTGCCTCCTTAGGTGCTAGGAGCGTTGCAATGATCGTTTCCCAGGATACGGTGACTACGAACAACTGTTTGAGCGCTCGACAAATTGTTCCAGCGAACGGAAACCAAGCAAGAACACTAAGGTTTTTTCGGAAGCTGGAGGTGCGTTTTAATGTTAATTTGTGCCAACTGTGCTGTGAGATGTGTTGTTGCAAAACAACTGCCAACTATATATAGGGATGAATTTGTGGTGTGTTAACTGAGCTTTAATAGACCAGAACGTTGGACATTAATATGTTGAAAGCTATACATTTAAAGAGCGCATTAAAGGAGAAAAATGTTGGGCATTAATTGTTATAACGTGCCATATGACTTCTGGTCATAGCAGTTCTGTTGCGGAGTAGAGGTCTTCTCGTCTAAGAAGTTCTGCTGAGGAAGAAGAGCCGTTCTGCCCGTCCAAGCTCCAAGTAGTTCTGGTTCTAGGAAAAAAATAAAATGGTACGGGAAGAAAAAAAAATTAAACCATATCTTTAAAAGACATTCGTGTCTGCAGGTCTCCCGCACACGCAAGTCGTGAAGTCACGATTTTCTTCTCCGTTTTCGGGATTTCATCGCCCCCTTGCGCGCAAAGAGTCTTTCCACTTAGGAATCTTAACTCCTTCAAAGAAGTTTCCCTTTATAAGGGGGTGGAAATCCCTTGGGTTTTCCGGTGCGAGATAAATCACTCTAGAAACACATCCTTTTCTATGTTTTTCCATTTCAACGAGTGAACTTCAAGAATCAATTTCTCATTCACTCGTTATCTTTTTTGAGTGTACCATATATCGAATTGTAGCCCTTAACAAGGACAATCCGAAGCCACTTTGACCCGATCCAAATCGGAAGCGGACCCCACTCAAAATATTGCCCCAAATTGACTATTTAATGCAATTTTAACACATTTTTCCAACATAAATTTCTCTATTTATTTCACTATTTTTACAGTTTATAATTTTCCACTTTTAATCCTCTGACTATTATGTCACACACATTTTTGGTACTCGGTTTTGATTTTTTGTATTTTTAGTCCTCGACTAGTGCTAGCAGAGACATTTTTACTACATGTCTTTAAAAATTTTCATATTTAGTCCTTCGACTTTCATTAAAGTGACATTTTGGTCCTTCAAGTATTATAATAATGACATTTTTAGTCCTCAATGTATTCTTATTGTGAAAGAACTAAAAATGTCTCTTGCAGAATAGTCGAGGACTAAATATGAAAAAATAAAAAGTGGAGTACAAAACATAGAAATGGAAAAACATAGAAAAGGATGTGTTTCTAGAGTATGGAAAAGTGACTTCTTCAACAAAAGAAGTAGCACTGCGTTTTCCATTTTGGAAAGCATGGATAAGTGACTTCTTCAACAAAAGAAGAAAATTAGAGACATGTCTTAGTTTTTCAATTTTGGAGAACAAACACGTAAACACATTCCAATTTTTCATCCTTCAGTTTTCCAGTTTTCTGTAAGACATAAAATATTCCTATTAATAAACGAGTTATTAAGGTTTTCGTATTGTTATTTCGAAGGGTATAAGAATTATTTGAAATTCTATTTGATGAATTTTATAAAGGGAAAAGTACGGAAAATGTATTTGTGGTTGGGCCCGTTTTCAGATAGGGTCATGTGTTTCCTTCTTTATCAAAGTAGTTCATGTGTTTGAATTCCATTATCACAAGAGGGGCACGCCATTAAAAACGTCTGAAAAAGACCATTAAAAGTAACTCCGATTTTCAAAAGTGCCTGGAAAATTAAAAGAAAAATAACGAAAAGTGCGCCTCGTCAAGATGACCTCCAAACCACCTTCGCCTTTGGATTTTTCAGATCTGTTTGAATTATTTTTAAAAATGATTCTGCTAATATCACTTTTCCGGTGAACTTTCGAGTGACAAGGGTGGCTGAAAACAAAAAAGAAAGATGGCCTAGCTGTCGTCTTATTGAGGCACACCTTCTGGTATTTTTCTTTTAATTTTTCGGGCACTTTTGAAATTCGTAGTTACTTTTAACGGTCTTTTTCAGACTTTTTTAACGGCGTGACCCTCTTGTGATAACGAAATTCAAACACATGAACCACTTTGATAAAGAACGAAACACATGACCCTATCTGAAAACGGTCCTAACCACAAGTACCTTTTCCGTACTTTCCCTTTTATAAACCTAATTAAAGTCCTATGAGCTTTTGGTTCTATATAGACATTTATCTAGTACGTAGTACTACCTCCGTCCCGGAGACAAGTTCCCACTTTCCTTATTTGGATGTCCCAAAATAAACTTCTCATTTCCCTAAATGGAAAGTTATCCTACATCAAAACAGTGTCAAAGAGTGCAAAACAGTGTCGAAATAGTGCCAAATAGTTCGAAAGAGTGCATAACAATAAAATTTACCCCTCAGTAACATTATTTCCTAAAAATGTGTGAAAGTCAACTCGGGAACTTGTTTCCGGGTTGGAGAGAGTATTACCTTTGTTCCACTAATTTGATAAATTAATAATGATTTAGGGAGTGTTTGCAACTGCTTCTGCTTAAAAAAAGCACTTTTGGAGTTATTTGGAAAAAGTGATTAGTAGTAAAAGTTGATAGTGTTTGAGAAAAAAAAGTGATTTTGAAAAGTAAAAGTTGGTAGTGTTTGGTAGAATAAGTGTTTTTTGTGTAATAGAAAAGGGAAAAACATTTTTCACACGCAAGCCGAGAAAAAGTAAAAATTGATAGTGTTTGATAAATAAGTGCTTTTTAAGGCAAAAGAATAACCCGAACCCGCATAACCCGCCTGACCCAACCCTACCCGACCCTATTTAATCGGGTATTTGATTTTAAAAAATATGCATGAGTTAAATATGTTTGAACCTGCACCTAATGGGTAGGATTGCGGAATTAAAATCTCAAACACGATAGTACCCGACCCGAACGAAGTTCATTTTATTATTATTATGCAACAATGTTTTCTTGGATAATTTCAATTTAAGACCAATGTGATCTATCTAGAACTTTACGATATTAGAATTATAATTAAACATTTACCCTTTGACTAGGTGCTTCTTATATATTTACGTTTTCATCTAAATGAACTTCCTTTACGAAAGGATGTTTTAATACTATTACGTTACCTAATGTTTTTTCTTATAAAAGATACGAGTACTTGTATTTGTTTGTGTGTTTTGAAAACAAGTTAATCGAGTTTTAAATTGGTTACATTAATTTCCCACATGAAAGATACAACCCGAAATGATTTTTTTCCAATACCCGACCCTACCCGACCTGCTCATGCATGTGTTACCAACTTATTTTGCATACCGCGGGATAGCCAACCCGAACAAATCAGGTAGGCCCAAAAAATATAGCAAACCCGACCCAACCCGCCCGATGTGCAGCCCTAATAGGAACCGAGAAAAAATGAGACAATAGGGATTTAAATATGGTGACGAGAGATCCAAATTGTGATTTCCTCATAATCATACGGAGTATTTTATGGCGAGTTAACTGTTGTCCCTGTAGAGAATTAGAGATAGCTGTCTGGCAGGTTACTGGCCCTTCAGAATGGGATGACGATAACTGTCCTGTGGGTTGGGTTCTGGGAGCAAATTGGAAGACGCAAAAAACTCAGTTCCCCAACTGCGTGCTGTCTGATTCGCTTAAGGACTTAACCAACTACAGCTGGGGATAGTGGGGAAGAGGAATTAGGTAGTCCAGTAAGTACATCACAGCTTCTGAAATCCAGATTTCTACTAACCTTCTAAATGGAAGTTTGATTTCAGATTGGTTTATCTTATCCTCTGTCTAATTCAACACCCCTATATTGCATTTCCGATTTTCCCTAATCCCAGTATCCAAATCAGCCTTCTTATGTATTACAAACTATTCAGAATCGGCTGAGATGGAGGAATGGTCAGTAGCCGCTGTAACCACGTAAGGGTGATTGATAAACTTGACCAATTATTTAAAATTGGGGTCTCAAATCTCTATACTCCATTTGTTTTCAATCACGAGTCCCTGTAGATAGTTTTCATTTTTTAATGCGTATTGTTATATCGGTTTGATAATTGTTTCGTTATGTTCTGGATCTTGTAGGCTATGCTTGGAATCGGGAAGTACTAGGAAAAGGATAGAGATGTTTTCTTTTAGGACAAGGGATAGAGATTTTAAGGAAAGTCATTTCTTATGCTTAGGTTTGCCATGGGAAATCCAAAGAAAATGAAATATGGTGTCTTTTTAAAAAAGTTATTACATTTTTTGGACTGCTTAATATAAGCGAATATATAAAATATGAAATATGAGCAAATAAAAAAATGTTACTGAGTTTGAAAGACTGAAACAATGTTTAATGTTCCTCAAACGTATTCATTGTTTCCAATGTCTCATATATTCGCCTCCATATTATCTTTCCCTATCATCTTTGGCATTCCAAACACACCCTTGATTGTAACTTTTAAGCCGTTTCCATTAAAATTAGAGCTCTTGCTGCTCCCTTTTGAGATGCCTCGTTCTTAACAAATGTCTATTTTATAATCACGTGTAACCAGAACATTTTAGCTATATTATCAAGAATTTGACTAGAACCTCATTCATATTGTTTCTCAAGTGTCCTTTTGTAGATATATTAAGACTTCCTATTTTAGATCAGAATTCAAAGTTTTTAAAATGTGTCTGACTCGGGCGCCTGGGCATATCTTTTAGAACTAGAGGTCATGGGACCTATTGTCACAGCTCATTTTAATGGCAACCAAATAGGCTTACATAATCAATTGTTGAAAATTATTGGTCAAAAATTTAACTTTTATACATCATGCGTGACACACATATGACCCATGTATAAAATGTGTTTGTGTGTGTTATTGGCCTACTATGAGTATCCAAGTAGAATTATTAATACAGACTAATATAGGCTCCTTGGTTTAAATGAGTCAAGCTATCTGATGCCGCATTTCCTCTATTTGGTCTGTTTTCTAATTATGTGTAGGGATAGTGCAATTTTACTGTCCTTATTTAGAAGCAATGGTTCATATTCTTTTTCTCTTATAGGTGATGCAATAAATAGAAGCTGGAACCAGTCTTTTTGCTTGCTTGATGGATTCTCATGTGAGTTTTTGAATTCTTTAGGCTACTTTGGGTACTGGAAAATGCTACCAAATAGAAAGCTGTTTTCTCATGTTTGGTTTTACCTCAGATAGAAAATGCAAAGGAATACGAAATATGATTAATGGTTATAAGTTTTTCACTTGTGTTGAGATTTCTACAGTTTTTATGTGATACAAAATGGATATATGAAATGAATTTGTTCAAATAAAAAGCATATATTTATTGAATTTGAACCAAGATTTTATTTTGCTTCAACATTTTGTTTCCTTCCAAGTATTTTCATTACTTTTTTCCCCTATTGTCTCTTCTTAGCTTTTTTTGGGTTCCTAATGGACCGTAAACGATTCTGAATTTTTGAGTCCTTACATATTTTGGAGCCGGTACTACTATGCAACTGTTCTAGCTTGCAACTTTATCCGTATGATAAACCTCTTTAGTGCCACTTTGGTTCCTTAGCATTTGGCATTCCATTCAATTTATCAGAAGAATTGTTTGTTATACATTTTAACATAATTCAGTCAATTCAACCAGTCACAGTTCCCCCCCACCAAACTAGGTACACGTTTCTTTATTTTTGTTTGTGGAAGCACTCCTTTATACTCCCTCCGTCCTAACTTAAGCTTCTCACTTGCGTTTTTTGGACGTCTCAACTAAGGTTTCCCATTTATATTTTAGGAAATAATTAGCACTCTTAAATGACAAATTAGTAAATTATTCATTAAATATTACAAATAATACACCTATAAAATTACAGTTTTCATCAATGACCTCATTATGTCATATACCCATCAAAACTATTTCTCAAGATATATTTGAATTACCTTATTTAATTATTGTCTAAATAACTTTTCAACAAGAAGCTTAAGTTTGGAGTCCAGGACGATGGTAGTACTTGTTTATAGTTTTCAATCAATTAGTTATGCAAAACGTATTATGATTTGAAACATTAAACCCAGTTAGCTTTGTTTCCTAAAATTCACGTTGCCTGCTTTCTTATCTTTAATCAGCGAAAAGAATCAAAAGCATCAAGCAGGATCGATGACCGCCTAACTAGTGATGTTGTGGTAAGGCTTAGAACACAGGATCGTGATCACTGGGTTTATTGCCATTCTCATATCCTTGTCCAACAAAGCAAGTATTTTGCTGATCGGTTATCAGACACCTGGCCCATGTGTCAAATTCTTGACTCCCGCAACTGTGTTGAGGTTCAGTGTGAAGAAAGTGACTTCGACCACACACTTCACGTCCTACGTCTCTTGTATCTCATTTCAGATTCTTCAGTGAATGCTGATATTTGCCATGGTGTAAGGACTGCCCTTGGCATTTTACAGGCAGCCTTCAAGCTCGGCTGCCCGGAAGTTGTCACTGCATGTGCAGAATATCTGGAAGCCGTCCCATGGGAGGAAGCCGAAGAAGAGGATATCCTAAAAGTAATTCCAAACATGGGATCCCAAGTGGGACCTGTGCTTGCCCGTCTACAACCTGTCACTCGCTCTGCTATAATCAAACTATTTGTCTCAGCAATGCGATTCGCCACCTCCTCACCTCCAGAATCTTTGAACGATCTAAAAAGAACAGCTCAAGAACAGCTCGAGTACATGCTGACCGAAGACGACGATGCCTCTCTATTAACAGCTGATAGTAATGAGGTGAAACTAGAAGTGGTGCAATGCATTAAGAGACTCCATGATAGGTTTAGTGAACTAGTAGAATCTTTACAGTGTGATTCTGAGGACGGCAAAACGCTACTACTATCATTTAAATCGGGTTTGTCAGATTTATGCTGGGCGTGCCAGATATTATCAAAGATGGAGATTATGAGAGATTTTGTTCACAGATGGACGGAGATGTCGGTCAAAATATTAAAAGTGGTACGGAAGTTGAGCGGAGAAACTGAGACCGTTTTGATAAGAATAAAAGTTCTTGAGGTGGCAGCAAAGGTGTTAGAGGCAATAGGATATGGAACGGTTGTTATGCCTGCAACGGAACGGCTGCACATGACAAAGGTCTGGCTTTCATTTGTAAGGGAAACGAGCCCTTTGATTGGCACGATGAGTTCCAATGATGGGATCCCTACGATTGATGATGAAATATGGCAGTCATTGGAGTCATCATTTGTTTCATTGATACTTACACTGCCCTCTGCTGCTCAAGCCGAGATCTTGACAGAGTGGTGGACAGATCCAAGGTATCCAGACCTTACCGAAGCCTTTGAAGCATGGTGTTATAGATCCAAGATTGCTAGGCGAAGGCGGGAAATGCTCTCAGGAGATGATCATAGTACATAGATGGAAGTTTGTAGTGGAAGGATGGGTTCAGTCTTACTCCGGTTTTTATGGAACTTGAAATCTTCCAAGAAATTTCAGAACAAGGTTCTGAAAATAAGCCTCACTACTATGGGTCTCGGCCGGGTTTTAGTAATTTCTGTTTGGGTTGGACCGGTTCATATCCCACCAAAAAGAACTCCATATTTTTTGGCATTATATAAATGTTTTCCAATTAAATTGATTTACAGAATAACCAAATGTATCCACAATAAGGATGTTTTAAATTGGATTAGTTTCCGTCATAGACCAGAACAAAATAAGCAGATTATCAGATTTCGACAATCGTAAAATACAATTAAAATAGACATCAGACCAATCTAGACTAGATTAAACTTAAACAGACATCAAAATACCGTCCAAATAAAATATCTCAAAGGGAAGAACATTAGTGGTGACAATAGTATAAAAGGAGAGGTGATGGTCGTCAGGGCAAAAGAGGGAGGACCATGTGTAGCACGTGGTGCTACCACAAGCGACAAGCTGTGGGCGGTGGAGAGAGATGAGGCGGCCATCAAAGAAGCAGATGCCAAGAGGGAGGACCATGTGTAGCACGCGGTGTTGCCACAAGTGACACAGCTATGGGCGGTGGAAAGAGACGAGGCGGCCGTCAAAGAAGCAGATGCCAAGTGCTCCAAAGGCGAGGAAAAAAATAAAATTTTAGATGGTTTAAGCTCTGATACCATGTGTGAATTATTTTCTATTACCTCTGGTTTAGAAGAGGCAACGTTTTTTTATTTTGCATTAGAATTTTCGTTATTATTCATATTATAAAATAGTTAGGATTTCCATTCAGAACTAAGATCATGTCGAACGCTATACATTGTGTCACAACATTTGTTAGTAATTGTTTGAAATATAATACTATTGTGTTGAAAATGAAGTATAGTTCAAGTTTATTATTCCATCCTTCCATACAACTTTAAGTTTATTATTCCATCCTTCAATACAACTTTATCTAATAATATAATTTTATATATCTAACTTTTATCATTTATAGAGGCGAAGCTAGAGGGGCGCCAATCTTGGTCATGGCCCACTCCAAATTAAAAAAAATGTTCTTTATTTTTAATGTAGAAAATTCCGTGTAAAAGTATTTCTAAAAATATTTTTTGTACCGGTCTAGTCCGGCGTAGTACTTTGGCTCCGCCCCTTATCATATTGCAATACAAAAAATCAAAGGGTTTGTCGTGGCCTAACACTAATTTATGTATAAGTTTTTCATGTATAAGTTTTTTATTCGAGGTAAGTGTCAGATTGGTACACGAAGTTGAATAAAAAGGGTCAAATAAGTCCTTACTATCCGGCCGTCGCCATTTGGGGCGGTTCCCGGTAGAATTTTTTGATGAAATTTTTTGAACATCTTATTCATTAAGTCTAGTTTACTCATACCAAATTTCAGCTAACAATTCAATCGGGAAGACATTCAAATGAAGTCTTGACGATAACTGCTCTTTTAACTGCACAGTTATCTTCAAGAATTCATTTGCATGCCTTCCTGATTGAAGTTTTAGCTGAAATTTGGTATGCGTAAACTAGACTTAATGAATAAGATACTCAAAAAAATTCGTCAAAAAACTCCATAGGGAAGCACCCCAAATGGCGACGGCCGGACAGAGCCTCCTATATAAGGACTTATTTGACCCTTTTTTTTGCAACTTCGAGTACCAATCTGACCCTTACCTCTTTTTTATTCCATATAAGAGTCTTCAACTCATTACATTCATCTCACATATTAGAAGTCTTGTCATTTCTTTGATTACTAATTTCGGACAAATATTATTTATACTGAGCAAAAAAAAAACATTACTACTACTTTTCAATAACATGTTTATTGTATGGTGCTAAAAAACATGTTTATTGCAAGAAATCACTTTATTATAATTTCGTGATGGTTTGCATTTTGAACTGCAATTGTTATATGATTTTGAACGGAATTATCCCCATATCAAATTGTTTTTTTGTCCAAATAGAGTAGGCATGCTTTTTGTCAAAAGTACTAATATTAAATTTCGGGATCGAAATCGGGGGCCCTTGCCCCTCCAGGTCCCCGTAGGTCATCAACCGCCAATGGGGGTCCTATGAACAGTTAACCAAATGTATTCATTAGCCCAGGAATAAAGCAACGCTACAACGATTACAAGTATAGGACAGAGAAACTGAGTGCCTTCACACGAGCTCTTCAACGACAGCGCCATCACGAGAAGCAGCAATCCGGTAACATATGCAGTGCTGCCCATACAGTAAGTATTATAAATTCCAAAACTCCAAATTAAAACATGATAGAAAATTATGTTCCAAATAAGTAAATAAACCAAACAATGTTGAACAAGAAAAGTAAATTCTTCAAATCACTTTGGGATGAAGTATATATATACATAATACTAGATAGGTTTTATATTGGAGTTGGAACAGGAAGAATACCCTAGGCAACCCCGGGCAAATAGTGTAAACTCCTTAAGGCCAACATATAAGCCCGCAAGACCAACTGAAAGCATAGTAACCAAACAGAGAACTGCTGAATCCGCAATGATCCAAGGCAAGACGGCATTGCTCATCGCTTTGTCATGTTAGAGCGGAAGAAGAAGAGATTTAATAGTTCGTTGGGGAGAAAGAAGATTATTATTGGCACACACTAAAATGTATTACACAGAGATGTTTATATATGAGTATTAACCCATAACAAACTTATTTAACAACTAACTGCACAAACTTATTTTTGGATTATATCTAACACTCCCCCATAATCCAAAAATAAAGCAACAACAACAATACAATCATGACAAAGAGAAATAAAACTAGTCTGCATCTAGTTCAAGTCCACAACTCCAATTCCTTTCCTAAGCTCTTTGAACCTATCTCCTTTTAGAGCTTTAGTCATGATATCTGCCAATTGCAACTCTGTTTTGCAATAAACCAATCTGATTCTTCCTTTGGATACTTGATCTCTAAGAAAATGAAATCTGGTCTCTATATGCTTGCTACGTCCATGTGACACAGGATTTTTAGCAAGATTCATTGCTGATCTGTTATCAATCATCAAGTCAGTACTTCCAGTTTCAACATTCAACTCTGAAAGCAATACAGTTATCCATAGTGCCTGACAAGCTGCAGAACAAGCTGAGATATATTCTGCTTCACAAGTTGACAATGCAACTACATTTTGCTTGGTTGAGCACCAAGAGACAGGAGCACCGGCAAAAATGAATATATAACCCATTGTGCTTCTCCTATCAACCACATCTCCACTCCAATCTGAGTCTGAATAAGCTACTAACCTCAATTTGTCCTCATCATGTGGCAAATATGGAAATAGAACCCCAAAAGTTATTGTGCCCTTTAAATACCTTAGAATTCTCTTTGCTGCTGACATGTGTGACATTCTTGGATCACTCATAAATCTGCTTACCACACCAGCACTGAAAGATATCTCAGGTCTTGTATGGCAAATAAATCTTAAGCTCCCCACCAATTGTCTATATCTTGTTGCATCCACAGCTGGTTTAGTTTCACATTTGTCTAGCTTCACATTGGATTCAGCTGGTGTCTCTGCAGGGTTACAGTTCACCATATCAAACTTCTTGAGTACTTCAAGAATGTACTTCTTCTGATACATTCCAAGACCTTGTTGATTCTATACAAACTCCAGCCCAAGAAAATAAGAAAGTGTGCCCAGATCTGTCATTTCAAATTCGGTTTTCAGACTTTTCTTCAAACTTTCAACTCCAGCAATTGTACTGCCTATGATCAGTAGATCATCTACATATAGGCATATAAACAATACACCAATCTGATCAGATATCTTCGCATATACTCCATATTCTACTGAGCACTTTACAAAGCCACAATTTTCCAAAAAAGAATCAATCCTCTTATTCCAAGCTCTGGGAGCTTGTTTGAGGCCATATAAAGCCTTTTTCAGTCTCAGCACCTTATCTTCACATCCTTTTCTAATGAAACCAGGAGGTTGAGTAATATATACTTCTTCTTCCAGGGTTCCATTTAGAAATGCTGATTTCACATCAAGCTGCCACATTATCCACTTTTTCTTTGTTGCTAAGGCCACCAAGAGCCTTATAGTCTCAAGTCTGGCTACAGGAGAAAATACTTCTGAATAATCAATGCCCTCCTTCTGCATAAAGCCTTTGGCAACCAGCCTAGCTTTATGCTTAGCCACAGATCCATCAGGCCTCAGTTTAGTCTTGAATACCCACTTAACATTGATTGGGGTCTTGTTTTCTGGCAAATCAGTCAATTCCCAGGTATCATTCTTTTCTATGGATCTGATTTCTTCAACCATTGCTTCTCTCCAAACCAGGTCAGCTACAGCTTCTTCAAATAACACTGGTTCAGAATCTGCCAGTAGTGCCATATGTTGTACTATCTCTCCTTCCTCTGAAATAGTGTTATCTGTAAACAAATCATAATCCCTGAGATATGGTGGAAGGTTTCTTTGTCTTGTTGGTCTGGTAGATGCCACTGGTACAGTTGGTGCCTCTCTCTCTTCATTCACTTGGGATGTTAACTCTTTATCTTCCCAATCAAGCATCAACTTAGTCTTGGTTGTATTTGTGTAATCCTTCCAGGATTTAGACTCATCAAAGTAGACATCTCGACTGAATACAACATCTTTAGTTTCAGGATTATACAGTTTGTAAGATCCTGTTGAGTTATAGCCAATGAAAATCATGGCTTCACTCTTATCATCCAGCTTCTTTCTTCTTTGCTCAGGAATATGCCTATAACATAAAGAGCCAAAGATCCTTAGGTGTTTAACTGATGGTTTTATCCCTGACCAGGCTTCTTCAGGAACCTTCCCTACTAAACTCTTGGTAGGACACCTATTGAGCACATAGACTGCAGCAGTTGCTGCTTCTCCCCAGAAACTATGTGGAAGGTCCTTCCCTTTCAGCATACTTCTTACCATATTCAAAATGGTTCTATTTCTTCTTTCTGCCACCCCGTTATGCTGTGGGGTGTAGGGTGCAGTTACCTCATGAATGATGCCCTGATCAGCACAAAAGTGACCAAATTCTCCTGAAGTGTACTCACCTCCTCCATCAGTTCTGAGAATTTTGATATGACTGCCAGACTGCTTCTCAACCAGTCCTTTAAACTGTTTAAAGATGGTAAACACTTCACTCTTGTACTTTAACAGGTATATCCATAGCTTCCTACTCAGTTCATCAACAAAAGAGACAAAATACTTATTCCCTCCTAATGATGGAGTATCAAAAGGACCACATACATCTGAATAAACCACATGCAGCAGACTTTTAGCCCTTTGTTGAGTATATGTGCCAAATGAAGATCTAGGTTGCTTGCTAATCAGACAACTGTCACATACCCTGTCAGGTACAGAAACTGAGGGCAGTCCAGTTACTAAGTCTTTAGTCCTGAGTAGGTTTAAGTCTCTAAAATTCAAATGCCCCATTCTCATGTGCCATAACCATGAGTTATCACTCAGCAATGACACAGAAAAACATTGTGATTCAACTGTCTTCAGATTGACCTGGAAGGTTCTATTGGGTGCCATTGGGGCCTTAATCACCATTTTCTTCTCACAATCAAACATTTCTAAGAAACCTTGATGTAATTTCATAGAAAAACCTTTCTCTAGCAACTGACCAAGACTAATCAGATTGCTATTCATCTCAGGTACATACAGCATATCAGAAATAATAACTTGCTTCCCATTCTTGTCACTAATTAGAACATCACCAGTTCCTTCAGCTAAAATCATTCTGTTATCAGCAAACCTGACTGTACTCTTTCTAGATGCATCAAAATTTACTAACCAACTACGATTTCCAGTCATATGATTTGAACACCCTGAGTCTATATACCACTTTTCATTATTACTGGAATCAGTATTGGTTAACATCATTAAGAGCAGAGGTTTTTCC